AGTAGTACCCATCATCTGAACGTATTCTCTGAAGAAGAAAATAATAATAATGGATTACCGACTGCGGAGAGCGACTGAGTGAAAAATATCAACCAGGGGCGGATCCAGGAATTTCTTACCGGGGGGGGGGGGGCACAAGGTGGGAAAGAGAACATATATATATATATATATTTGTCTTAGTCCCCCCCAAAATAGCAACGACTCAGCCAGCGTGAGGGTCAGGGGGGGACACTTTTTTAGGTTACCCATTGGCATATTTTTTTATTTAAAAAAAAATAAAAAAATTAATACTTTTTTGGGATACGGGGGGCACGTTTCTGTTTTTCAGTACATTTTGGGTGATTTTAGGGCTGATTTTAACATATTTTTTTGGCCGGGGGGGGGGGGGACGTGCACCCCCCCCCCCCCCCCCCCCTGGATCCGCCACTGTCAACTATGTAAAAAACGACACAAGGAAATATTGGATCACAGTTCCAATATGCCTTTTTAAAAGGGACGTGAATTCGCTGTAAAATTTTTGCTTTACTGTTACGAAATATGTATTGCGATCTTACCCGTTACTGTACATGGAATGAAAAAGAGATATTTCTAATGGCGTCAATATCGGTTTAAACCATTTAACTAAGAAACGTAACGTAATGGGCCCTCCATATTTATTATTATTCATCGTATTTAGGGGGGATTTAGGGTACATTCACAAGGTTATGAAGAAGGTTTTTCAAGAAAGCGATAGATTTCAAAGCAAGAGAATAGCAGTGTTTATACAACACCTACGTGGATCCTTGTCATTTGATTGGGGGATTGTTGGTCACGTGATATTCAATAGATGTTATATTGCACGACCGTGCATTTTTGGTTATATGCAGAGTGCATTTTTGGTTATGCAGACTGCGTACCTCTCTGCCGTGCGCGTATCTCTGTGTGTATCTGACGCGAAGGCAATATGAATGTAATCGAGAAGGCTTGACTCCAACTTTAATAAATATAAGGAGTAAAGCATAATTTGTTGATTAACGTTCTATTACTCTATTAGATCTTCTTTGATGTTGTCTAAAACAAATAATGAATGTTTTTCATTCGTTAATAGTGCAAGTATTTTCATACGTTGAAAGATCAACGTTAATTCTATTCAACTCGGCTGACGCCTCTTTGAATAAAATGTTAATCTTTTAAAATCTTTCAAAATATCCGCACTATTGAACTCATAACCATTCATTATTTGTTTGATATGTGACATTATAAAGAACGTACCCTTCTCCTAGGCTGCACTGATGATGGCATGGCACTCACAACGGGTATCGCGTCATATGTGTTCTCTACACCTGCAGAAAGAAATAGGTCATATTAACTAATTAATAGTGACTGAGATACTCTATCTGCAGTGTTCCAGGTCATTGAAAACACAGTAAGACACTGTTTACTTTGCATGATTACTTTCTTTTCTTATAACCTGTACGAATTTGTTGCGATGAGTAAAATACATCTTTCCTATTAAATATCATCTGTATTGTACCCTGTTTTCTAATTGTTTGCATTTATTACGAAGATGTGACTAATGTTAACTTGTTGTTCTTCAGATGACAGGAACTTTGTTTGTGACTTTAAACTTAGCATTGTTAACTTTACAACGTATACTTACATGAGTTGAATCATTTCATGTTCACGAACTTGTATAAGATTCTTTCATGTTCATGAATAAAACAATGTCATTTTCAATCAACTCAGTCCTTTGTTTACAAAATTCCAAGTACGTGCATTGTTTCCCTGAAGAGTATTAAGATGCATGAGACTTCACAGCCTAGTGGCCATTATTCTGATTAATAGAAATTTGATTCCATCTTCAGTTCTATAGCTTTCTATGTTGTTGAGTAATTTAGGAAATTAATGCCAAATTTCTTTCAATATTCGTAAATAATGTTCATGTACACTGAGAACCAACGCCATGAAAAATGTGTTGAATGTTACATATTATGATTCAATGCAAAAACTGTCCTCAATATCAGGACGATTATGGAGAAATATCCGTTCAATCACAATATCGTCACATGGGGTGTGTGTAGCAATCCCCTTTAAATTCTCTGTTTAGGCAAATGTGAGGTGTTAGATGTTTTGCATAGAGATCCGATTTAAGTGACGCAATCGTTGCCTTTATTTCGACCGCTAGAAAACAGGAAACAAGCATTTATGTGAATAGCATTTTTCACATTGCACTATTGAGAGTCATGATTCTTAAAGTCCTTGTAACATCTCGTGATTATTCAAAATTTCATTGGGATTATAAAGATATTTGGAATACTTTTATTATCTTATGGTTTTACTTTTTAATAACATATTTCACGGCCTAATTTTGAAAAGTTAAGTTGGAAGTTATACGTGAATAGCATTTTTCACATAATTTAATTTTCAGCGGAACGTTAAGATTTGATGTTAAAAGAAATCTTCGATTCGTGGTTCTCCACGCCATTGTACAAAAGAGAATCTTGAAACACTTATTATTAAGTGTTTCAAGATTCTGTTTTGTGTATCAAAGGAGGTTTGAAGGGTTATTATTTGAATATCTTATTATGTTTATTCTCAATAATATAATTGTTGGCCTTCTTGTCTAAGGTATAATAAACTAAAATAATGTGAAGTGTTTTTTGTTGTTTTTCATAGTGTTTCCTCGATTTTTTTAGTTTTCTTTGATACAACAAACCAATTTGATTGGCGTGAATTTTCTATTATTTGGATTCCATGTTCGTAAGTTGGGTTCATTATTATTCAAAACCATGAATTAAAAAAGTTTACTAAATAAACATCACAATATTGGGATATTCTGTTACAAAACAGTTCCCTTGACATTTGTATGACGTTAGCATGACGTTAATCAAAATATTAACTAGAAATTCGAAACGGATCTTCTTTGAAATGATATCCTATATAGGATTATTTTTACGTAGACTACATCAAGTACTACTTTAGTTAGTTATCTAGTGACAAGCCAAATGCAAATGTCGAAACAAGACGATCGCAAAGACTAACAAAAGCAAACTCAGGCAATTTCAGGAGACTTTTCTAGTCACTTAATCGTTCAACAATGTTAAATCTGAGACGCACAGCCCTACGTGTTATCAGTGTCTCTGATATGGTGTAATATTGAAGCCTTAACAAAAATTGCGCTTCAAAATATTCAAGGAGTGCCTCAAAAAGTAAAAACCTTTGAGTGACCGGTTTTACTATACTCGTTTTCTCCAATAGACCGTAGTATTATGAAAACCGTTAAGAAAACGCACAATTTGGTTTCGATTTACAATCATAAATATCTTGATAATCAGACAGGCGATCGGCTTGTAAAAGTCATGGGGTTCCTGACTGACCTAAAGGTTTATAATTCTCATTGCAGTATGAGCTAAATCCAGGATTTTGTTTTAGAATCTGAGACAAAGTTACTGGATCCTTTTAATGAAATGTGCGAGCATAACAAGAACGTATCATATAGCGTTTATGATTCTAAGGCATTTACATTTACAATAGGGTATCGAAATTGCTCTTGAATTGATTTCTCGAAAGTCTTTGCGATCGTGCTAAACTTACTTTGCTGAGAGACGAACTCAAATCGAATGGATGCTCCCGATGAAGGGGTGAGTCGTGGACTAGTCGTGGTGCTTACTGCTTCTAATTCATCCACTGTTGGTATTCCTGTTGGAAGAAAAGAATTTGTGAGACAGGGTCACAGTAATAGCATGTATAAATAAGTGAGGAAAATACTTATTTGCTACGTGGTCTTTTCGGTGAGATGTAGTCTTTCTTTGTCCTTCACCGAGTTAATAAAGAAGGTGGGAGAGATAGGGAGGGAGAAAGAAGAGAGGGAGAGGGGGAGGGAGAGAGAGGATGGGGAGAGAGAGGGAGTGAGAGAGAAGAGCGAGAGAGAGGGGGAGTGAGAGAGAAGAGCGAGAGAGAGAGGGAGAGAGAGAAGAGCGAGAGAGAGGGGGAGAGACAATATGGGCCAAAATTAGGGACATGTGGTAAAAGAAGAGAGAGAGAAAGGAGAGGGAAGGGCAAGAAATACAATTAATGTATAAAATAAAAACTTATAATATATAGAGAAAGAAAAATTGATAGAATAAATTATGAAGAAGAGGGAGAGGGTGATATTTCATTTGACATGCTGGAGATAGTGTATGAATGTGTGTATCTGTGTGGGTATATGGGTGTGTGGGTGGTGTGTGAGGGAGAGAGAGAGTGAGAGGGAGTTTAGCATGGAGGAAGAATTACAATGAGAAAGAGAGGGGATATGGGAGCAGGGGTTAGAGATGACAGGAATGGAGAACAGGGGTAGGAGATACAGACAAAGAAGATAGGAGAGAGAGAGAGAGAGAGAGAGAGAGAGAGAGAGAGAGAGATGATAGAGAGAGAGAGAGAGAGAGAGAGAGAGAGAGAGAGAGAGAGAACTAGAGACATAAGAGAGGGTGCATAAGGTGAGAGGGCATACGGTTCTACTAGAGTGTAGTATAAAGAGAGAGGAGGAAAATAGTTGATAAAGAGCAAGAAAGAAGGAAAGAGGAGAAGAGGCACAAATAAGAAAACAGGTGGGAAATACTTTGGGAGAAGTGATCTTTGTAAAATGATCCATCCTCCCTAAGGACAGCAAGTCAGCAACAAATCAAAAAGTGGATGAAGATAATTAGGTAAAGAAGCATTAATCATAACAATAATTGCGAAGATATAAAAGTTAATGATAATAGTCTTTTCTTAATGACCTTGTGACTATGCCCCCGTGGTCACGTACGTCACACTATGACCCAGTTATACTGGTCATTAGGTCAATAGATGAGTGTTGTCCCTAGAGGTAAAAGATCGAGTGATAAATGGCTAAATTTTCACATCTAGGACTGCTTAGGTGAACCCAAGCTGTGATGAATCTTGTCCACAGTTGGACGTAACCTGCAATTATATTTTTTCATGAGGAAATGGGGCTTGGTCGTTGTGGGACTTTTCGTTGTTTTGCTGCACCTAATCGAAATATTTTTTTGAAATGTTTCATGTGATATGTGTTCATTAATCTGTCATGATAGATTCATAAAGCGTCATAGTATTTAGGCATCACTTCATCATTATGTATTGTGAACAGAAAACAAAAGAACACGATCAAAGAAAACAACAGCAGCTGTTTGGATTTATGAGCATTTTACGAAACAACAAAACCCACAGAATTCCGGGATATTGATTTTAGGGGCTTACTGATGCTTTAGGACTACATGGACTTATGTCATTGAAAAATAAAACTGAGGTTTTAGATTTCTTTAGGAATGTAATATGTATTGTTAAATGTAATATGTGTTGATAATGAGCAATACTATGAACGATAAGAACTTGATGCTATCCAGCATCAAGAATAGGATATTTCCTTCATTCCATTCTATAGGAATACTGTTATGACCACACTGCAACGGCCTTTCCGAAATACTATTCATTTATTTTATGTTTTTAAATATGCCTCATTTATTATTTTTTGGCTCGTGTCTCTTCTTTTTCCCTCAGTTTCCTCTTGTCTTCTTCGATGCACTGTCCACTTCTCATTCTATACTGGGGTTTTTGTGTAAATTCTATAGTTACAACGTGTATTCCTGAAAATGGTCATGGGATGTTACAAATACCATATCCGCGAAACAGAGGGCATTACTTTGTATTTTCTCATTGGGCTCCCTTTTGGGATGTGTTTTCCTTGCTATGAGCATATATCATTGATAGCCCCCTCCGGCTGATGAAATACTCATCATCTCACCAAAAAAGCGTCTAATGGAGAAGAAGGGGGGACTGAGAGATGTCAACATGATAAGAACAATTAATTCGACCATGTTGACAGCTGTATACATTTCAAAGATGAATCTTTATGGTTTATAATGAGGGCAAGATTGTACGTATTGGGAAAATGTTTTGATATGCAGCGAAAACCTCTGTAAGGAGAGGGCTTAACAATAGTAGTAGTAATAGTAGTAATAGTAGCTCATACAGAGCGAATTTATTTTTTCATTTCTTTTTCATATAATATCAACAATGACAAACAATAATAAACGTAATGATATAACAGAAGTGAGCATTGAAATATCTTTGACATTGTTTTGACAATGAATGCCACATGACACGCTTTTGTTTCTGGTACATTTCATATTAACTGTTTGCCAACCATACCATCGCAGAAAATAAGGTGTAACCAGTGGCGGATGAATGATTCTTTGACGGGGAAGGCATACATCTTAAACAAAAATACCGCAAACAAAAAAGGAGACATTTTAATCGGGGGCTCAGATACCCACTTCCGGCTGACAAGTAACAACAAATAATTCCCCAACCAACAACATGTAAAATAACAGGGTTTTTTTCCGGGTGGGAGAATTAGTGTACTTATATGAATGGTAACAAGTATCTGATCTTTCTTTCTTAATTGATCTGTGAGGAAACATACAAACTAAATAATGGGTGGGTTGTCAATAAGGCCTAGCAATAAACATCTCGATTGTCTAGTGGTAAGACAAAATATTTTTTTAATCGGGAAGATAGCACGTTCGAAAGCTGGTTTGCAAACCTACACTGCATTATTCTTGAGGCAATATAGTCCCACATTTTAACGAAGTGATTTAAAACAAATTTTCAATTCCCTTGCTAATATTATATTTAGCTTTATGACGTTTTGATTGTGTTTTTTCTGTATTAGGAGTTTATTCCATTAGGATTTTATTCCAATAGAAAGCATTTAGGAAGCTTAAAATTTCTTCCACGGTCCCTCCCCATTTTCTTTGGATCCACCTCAAACTGCTTGATGTCCTTAATCAAAGGAGTTGAGTAGTTATGATTCATACGTCATTAGGGCTATAATAGATCAAATCATTGATGGCTTGTAACTGTTTACTAAGGTCATCATAACTTTTGAGTAGAATGAATACCCAAAACGAAAATAAATGATTTATATTTTGCTCCATACCTGGTATGCCAGCTCGTCTTCTGTTCATATCAACGTAGAATCCTTCCCTACGGACAACTGCGTCAGAGAAAAGAAACATCATGAAGGATGAATATAATTGCTACGTGTCTGGATGGAACATAAATATTATATTTTCTTCCTCCAGTTTATCAATATTTCAAATGAAATCATCATGCTATGGGAGTGTGTGATTAGAGCATTAGCTCATTTCAGATTAAGGAAGAGGGATAAAGTGGGAAGAAGAAAAAAAAGAAAGAGGGAGAGAGGATTTTATCTAGCCTAGATTTTAGGCTGAATGACCTGCCTGGATGTATATTCATTGACTTCAGTCTGGAACTATTAACTTGCGCCTCACACGAGTCAAAGGAAATCAACACATCTTTATCAAGAAAGGAGGAGTCATTCAGTCCCGAATTTTGGCTGTATCTTGGTCTTGCTCTATTTTCCTTTTACTCACCCCAAAATTCGTCCATTTTTAACCTCCTTCTCGTGTGCCATACTAAGACTATCAGTAAGAAGACAAAACAGGCTGAAATCAATGCAATCAAAAGTGGGCGCTCCACAGGCATCTTTGGAATCCCACGTGGGTTATCTGTTCGAGAAACAAAAACATAATGCTAATCACATGATTTTTTCCATTTCTATGACGTTAAATCTATGACGTTGGTAAAAGCCTGGAGGATAAGAAATGTAATTAAATAAAACAAATCAAATAGTATAACTATCCGATCGGTGGGAGTAGTAAGTTCATCATAATGTTATAGGCCTATTGTCCCAAAAGTGTAAACAGGAGATAAAATGAATATTACCATCACAGAGAATAGGTAGGTCTACTGTTAAGGGAGCTGTCGGGTCGACGTCCTCATCTACATCATCGGAAACCTCGCCTGAAAGTGACATGTGAAACCAAGAATAGGTATATTTATATTCTCGTACATTAAACAGTGCTTTGGAATGAAACGATATGGGAAAATAATTCTTGCTCGTTACTGTAGTCTCCTATACTCACCATCTTACTCCATCCCTTTCTCTCTCTCTCTCTTTCTCTCTTTCTCTCTCTCTATTCCTCCTCTTCTTACTCCCCCTCCCCCTCCCAATCTCTCTCGCCCTATATGTTAACGACTTCTTTTATCTATTGTTGGTCTTTCAAGTTAGTGCATATATACAAGAGAAAACGTTTCTTCACAACATTTATTTAGAAAATCAAAAGAATAAACAATACAAAGTCCTAAAGTTTTGGTTTATAATAACCATAGTTTCCCTCGTACTATACAAATTTACCATATTTGATTTCAATGGTCCATGTCGTTCTTCCAATAATATTACTTGCTGAACAAGTCATGTTGAATGTGGTAGGCAGCAGGTTGCCTCGATCGCCTGGTATCTGCATGAGACTCACAATCGTTGTACCGAATACCTCTGTGATAGGTCGGGAGAGGTTGGTCATATAAGATGGACTCGTCCATTCAACTACAGGAAGTGGTATTGCTTCTGCGATGCAGGTAATGTTGAATGTGTCCTCGTATCGTGGAATAGTCATGGTTCGCAATGTTGTTATGATATTTGGCTCATCTAAATTCGAAGAAAAATATATTTTAAATATGATAAAGTTACTTCAAAGAGTAACATGATCATAATGTTTTTCAGATATAATGTTGCTATTCTGATTCTTTATTTTGATGACAAATTTGTCTTTATGGAATTACGGGTTTCAACGGTTTCAGTACTCAGCTCTAAAAATTTGTTCATGGATCAATAAGTATTTGAGGCAATTTAAGAAACTACAGAAATAACAACTAGCCATATTAGCTAACCGATATATTGGTTAAGTTTTGGTATGGGGTCATGAATTTGGTTCAAATGAACATATTGGAACCATATGCAATCTTACAATATTCAGTGATCGTTGTCGCGGTTGAAATCGTGTCTAAAGTGATGAAATTGTTAATAATAAACTCCTTTCGTTGTAAAGCTCCCTCTCAAGGTCAAGATATTAATTTAGCTGTAAAACCATGTTTCTTAACTAAAATTGACCGATTGGCTATTCTCGTTTGAAAATTAAAAACCCAACTACATATTCTGAGATTTTCATGGTCGCGGCTACAAAACCATTGTATGGCCGTATGCGCTATCTGAAAATTACGGAAATTTACCTGGCACCGGTAAATTTTGATATTCAATTTTTCTCGGAAGCAGAAGTGTAAAGGGGCTAAATTTTTTTAGTGCCTATATAATACATCCACAGAGGCATCCAAATGTTTCAAAAATGCAGAAAATCTTTATCCAGCCAATTATCAAAATTTTCCAAAACTTTGTATTACCTTTAAGCTGCTCATCATACGATGCGGTTTATATTTTACGTTAGTTAAAGGGTGACTGAAGAAGTAAACATTTCAAGGCGGAATCATTAACTGAAGCAAAATTTACTCTTCAACTAAAAGTAATTTTCAGTACACTGTGTAGTCGTTTCTGATGTTTCCCTCAATTAATTGAACTAAAGTTGAATTCAAAAATAAATAAAGGAATAAATGAATATAGGAATCACGATAACAAATACTTTTGAAAATTGAAAAATCATTACATAATCCGAACTAGACAATATGGTATTAAGTTTTCTTCCTTCATTAATTTCTTGAGAGTCCTTGGGAGCAGATTATCACTCAATTCTTTGATTACTGGACTTTATATTTATCATAATCTCCTTACAATAAATTCTAAGTGTAAAACTCTTGATGATAAGTTCACTTTTGACATTTTTCTATTGCTATTGAAAAAACAACCTAATACAAATTTCACTGCAAAACTATTTAAAGGATTTTCGAAAAACCAACCTAAGCTTATTTCAATAGCCATGTGCGTCATCTTGTAAAATTCCGAAAAATTTTATGACCTATCATTACATAATGGTATTAAGTTTTCTTTCTTCATTAATTTTCTAAGAGTCCTTGTGACGGGATTATCACTTATTCCTTGATTACTGGACTTCATATTTTCCTTACAGTAAATTCTTAGTGTAAAACTCCTGATGATTGATGCAGAGGCTATCTGGTTGTTAGCAAGGCAACTGTATAGGCCCGCGTCTGTTCTAGTCACGGGTGAAAGACGGAGCAAACTCGTGGCTGTATTCCCATCCCGCCGCATTACGTCATTGATTCTGTGTGATGAGGTTTCCCAGTATACATGTGGTTTGGGATTGGCGCCAAATGCTGTACAGAGCACCGTCAAGGAGTCCCCCTCTTTCACGGGCTTCTCTGTCCAATTAACCGTCATGCCTAGTGGAGGGGCTGTAAAGTTATATGGATAGTTTAGGAAAGCGCCTCAAACAAGAATATTGCAAGAGTTCAACCATATCCCGGCAATGAAAAATATATCAATTTTGAAGTTTTACGTGAAAATTGTTCCTATGATTTAAAAAAACGAGAAAATTGAACTTTATATCAATAAAGTTTGATCATTTATTCCCGACATCATTTTCCTTCTTTCTTTCGTGCATGTCATATCCTCACCCTGATTTTTTTTTCTCTCTTCGGACTTAAACAGACATAGACAAGGAAGAAGACAATAAAACGAATCCCCAAACCTCTATCGCGACCATCTCATAGCTGGTAAAGCTGATTATTTCTTTATTTATCTGTATGTCCATCTGAAGAAGAACAAGACTTACCACGAACTCACAGCTTGACTTACTTGTTCAAAGTATGCAATGGCAAATAAACCGTAAGACTTAATTGTAGACAACAATTTATATAGTTGACATTCAAATTATGATCGTAACAAACTATACGTACCAAGTACATTCAATGTGACTGACTTGTTCAAAGTCTGCAATGGAGATGAAACCTTACAAATAATCTCCAACCCATCATCACTACCATCTACTACCAGCTCTAGATGAGCGGTCACATCGAATCGTCCAAACCTCTCCTGATGATGGATGGTAGAAAAATGATCTTCACCTCCAACAGACCACTGGATGATAGCCAGAGGGTAGGAGTTAATGGTGGAGCAGCTCAAGAAGACGGATCGCTGTGTGGTAGAGAGGGTAATATTTGTATTCCCCGTGATCGTTGGTGGGGAGAGAGGAGCTGTTAGGTTGAATTCAAGAGAAAATAAATACATGTAATCAGTTATTTCGATATATGTTACCGAATAACATCTTTTAGGGCAGGATAGATTTATATATTGAGATGGAATGTCGATATGAAATCTTACTTTTCTACTTCATTATGTCATTTACTGCCAGGTTCACTGGTGAAAAACATTTTAACAAAGTCTTTGTCATCTAATATTGCAAAGGAAACAAATACAAGATACTTGAATATATCTACGAATTGCTAGGCTATCTAGTGTGCAAAAGTTAAACGGTATACTATTATCGTTGTTTTTTTTTAGAGTACGTATATTTGAGCCCTCTGTATATACGCAGTCTATAATGCTATGCTAGCAAATATTCATAAACAGTTTTTTAATTTCTTAAACATTTTAAAGATAATAAAGATATACATTTTTATGTATGGCTGTAGCAATATGCAGCTATAATGAACGTATTTTATATGTCGACGGACTTCACCTACAATACGCAGCCAAACTGACGAGTTGGCCATGGAGGCTCTAGCCCCCGAACCCCGACATGTCAACGGTTGGTCGTTGTACCCTAGCATGGTCGCACGCCTTACAATCAGTGTACTGACAGCATCATAGCGACCTTTGTACGTGAAGCTGCTGAACGACACACTCGTAACTTGGATCCTGATTGGTATACGCGAGAGTGACCACGTGATGCTTGCCGCTGGTTTGGCGCCTATTGAGTAACACTTGAAAATGGCGCGGTCGTTTTCCGCAATCGTCACGACATCTCCAGCTTTTAGAAAAGGACCTCTGTTGATGGTTATAAAGACCTCTGAAACAGGTACTAGAACAGAAAAAAATAAATGAATTTACTAAAATAGCAAGATTAAAAGGATTTTGTATACGAGACGTGCACAAATTTGTTACGGAAATGTGTTCCTTAAACTTTGTCTCGTAAAGCCAAGTCATTGTTTTCGTTATTGGTATTAACTTTGGATTTATCAAAGGGGCTTGCATTGTTGATTGATGACCCCATTAATGCTCACTAATGAGTAGAAAACGCCCTATCGAAATATGAAGGGGGAAAAGGATTTAAGAAAATTACAGACATGGATTATCGATGTAATCCTCAATCATAATTTGGATAGGAAATCCATGGTAGAAGATCGAGGGAATGGCTTATGAAGCGAAACAGAGACCTATATAATGAGAGGAAAAACAGGGTCATGATATCTATCAATATATTACACTTTGAAAGGGGCTATTATTCATCGAGTATGAAACTCTCTAAATTGTTAGTTTCCGCTCGATGTCACCATAATTCATTCTTAAGTACCTAATTATCAACTTAGTTTTGAAACTATATTATTGTCACGAGATGCCCCAAGTACCCGAGAGGCCATGGACTCCAGGTGCCATTAAAAAAATGGTATGTCCTCCAAGAAATGGTAAATCGTTGATGTGTCCCAACATGTTCAAATTTACTTGTTTTATCATTTTGCGTTTACAAAGTCAAGAAGGTTTGATGCCCAATAAACATATTAAAAAATCATGAGTTCTCCTCATTCATGTTGGTCTAATAAAAGGAAAGCATTCAAGGCACCGATTTTTTTTTTCCAGGTCACTGCATCCACATTTCCTGTCAATCTAAACTACAATCGTTCATGTCAAGTTGGACTATTAATACTTTTAAACGAAAAATCCAGTCTGGTATAGAAATAAAGGAATTGAGATGTCTTTTGCTTATAAAACACAACTAATATGACTTTAAAGGGCAGTCCTTTTGAAAGTTATTATGGATAGGCCAATATGATTTTGAAAGTTGTACTGTTCAATCAAATGATGCCTTGATGGCTATGGCTTATACAAATCTTACCATTGATATCCAATAAAACAGTACACCGTCTAGTGATTTCACATGTGTAGTTTCCTTGATCTGCCGGCGATGTGTGGGAGATAACAAGGTCGCCTTTAAGCCAACGTTTTGTTACCATGCGATACTTAGTGGTCGATGAATAAGATACGGCATCCTTCTTTACGCCTGTCCAATTAGCGATGCATATTGGTCCAGACGATGACGTAAAAGTCCAAGTGATCGGTGATTGGACAGAAGTGTGGAGGGACCTAGATTTGGCACATGCGCACGAGAGTCTGACACTGGAACCAGTTGGGACCGTAATTTGTTGCTGAACTGCAAAGGAATAAGATGAACGAAAGAATGAGGTTGCGAGTTTCAAAACACACTCAAACATTAAAATCTGCTAAATAATGCCAATGATTATATTCATTTTCCTCTTAAAAAAGACAACTCTATAGCGACAAGTCGAAATGTGCCAATAGAATACGGCTCACATGATTTCAGATTGGATGATTATTTTTATCATGACACTTCATCCAGTCTATGCACAGTGTTTTTTTTAAAATAAAGATAACAGAAAAAATGACAGAAACATAAGAGATTTTCAATCAACACTTGAATACCATCTATGAATAAAAGCATGGGTGTCGATCCCGGGGTGGGGGATGGGGGGATATATCCCCCCAATATTTCAGGTGGGGGGGGGGGGATGGCCTGTACAATCATCCCCCCCCCCCAATAATTCACCATCAAAAAAAAAATCAAGAGAAAAATTAATGATAAGAGCCCAATGAGAGTAGTTAATGGTTATTACTCGCAAGATGACCATCAACATACACATTTTGCTATCTCATTTTCATAATACATACATATATACGAAGTAAATGAGACAACCGTATATGAGTTAAGAATAAATTGAATTCTTGCTCATACGGCTTCATCAGAAATTGATGAATTTATTCAATTTGTTCAATCAACAGTATCATAGAAATGCAGTGCGCCAAATGCAAAGACGCAGCGTTATAAAGCAACGAGCTAAATGTTAAGCGCGAAGCGCAAAAGTAGCAATCTGCAATGCACATCAGACAATCCTGGACAGTGTAAACATAGATGAACTCTTTGACGAATTCGTAATGAGATCGGAGACAAGGAGACAGCTTGCGCGCTTTGCGCGGGAGCGGGGAAACTGAATTCAGACAAGGATTTAAAGTCGAGAACGGTACAACGAATCGTCTTCTATTTTTCTCTAATAATCTAATGAAACGTCAAAGCGTCCGCGTGAGGGGGGGGGAATTGATTCAAACATTAAGGATTAAGAGTCGAGAATGGTACATCGAATCGTCTTCTTTCTTTAATAATCTAATGAAATGAAGGGAAACCTGATTCAAACAAGGATTAAGAGTCGAGAATGGTACATCGAATCGTCTTCTTTCTTTAATAATCTAATGTAACGTCAGAGCTTCCGCGCTACGCGCGGAGGAGGGGTAACTTGATTCAAACAAGGATTAAGAGTGGAGAACGGTCCAACGAATCGTCTTCTTTCTCTAATAATTTAATGAAACGTCAAAGCTTCCGCGCTTCGCGGGGGAGGGGTGCAACCTGTCACACGCTTCTACCTCTTGGTTGCTTTGATCCATTGCCGAAAATATTTTGGCACCTATCATCCCCCCCCCCCCCAACCACGGATACAAATCGACACCCTTGAATAAAAGGAAATGAAGGTTGGGTCGTATGGAAATAGCTAATTGTATTTTGATAACGAATGATTTTACCTCAAAACATTCTCGGGAAAATATAATATACCTCAAGTGCTGTGTTGAGGGTACACTTGAAAACGAGTCAAGTGATTTATGACAGTTTTTAAACCTAAATGTTGTTATGAAGAATGATTGCTCTTTCCACGAAACATAGTCATTAGCTAAAACGAGGCACCTCGTGAAGCCAAATTTCATTTCTTTTGTTTGTTCACGAACAAGAACTGAACAAAAGTTTATTAAAATCAGATGGGGAAAGATATACCTATTGGATAAACATGTGCAGTCTCTGTTATGAAAGTATAACTGTTGCGTTAAAAGAGCTTAATCGATTACGCTTTTTCTAATATTATTACCGGCACACGCATAAAAATCAAACTCCCAATACCTTCATTTTACAGTTTATATGAATTAGCAATTTCAAAATTATAAATGTTTCTTTGTTAAATGGCACTGATTATAAATAGAAATAATTCTTTGTCATCACTTTGAAGGAATAAATTACATGAAACCAACACCTTTATTTACTAGTGAAGAATACCTTTATCAAGCATAATCATGTGTAAACGAGATCATGTACCAAAATACTTGACACTTATTTAGGTCTAACGGTATATATAGGGGCCAACTACTCCAAATACTACCTTACATGTACTCTCAAAGACGTGTTCATTTTTAGTGATACAGTCAAACCTGCTTTAACGACCACCTGTATAGAAAGACCACCTGTCTACAAAGACCATTTTTGTTGTTTACCTTGAAAATGGTTTCTCATTGAAACATGTACTGAAGAAACCTGTATATAACGACCACCTGTCTTTAAAGACCACTTTTTCTTGTCTCCCCTGGGTGGTCTTTATAGACAGGTTTCACTGTATATCATTGAAGAGGTCTTGTACACGAATTTGTGACCAACGTGAGAGGCTAGCAGGCCTAGTATTAGTTCAGTAATGTTTCAGCATTGAGCAATCGTAAGTTTGTCGGTGCCTCTTGCTTTGATATTATAAGCATGCTATCGTCCATGATTCTAAGCTGGTTCTAAGTTATTTTTGACATCGATGTATATCAAAATGAGTGTGATCAACCTTTTATTTATAAACTATTTCCACTGCAAACTAAACTTTCCACACTCCACACTCTCGTACAATCAGTATACGACACTACACCCGACGGCGGCCTTATAGCGGAGAAGAAGAAGAAGAAGAAGAAGAAGAAGAAGAAGAACTCATCTTTCCCCAGAAATCTCATGCGGAACCTGTAATGATGTGATATTTAAAACTACTAATAACTCTTGTAGGATAACATATACAATGACAGACAAGAAGGTGCTGACATGATATGTGTAAGTCACAATTTCGATAAGCATATGACAGATCGAATGTATTTAAGAATATTCCAGAGAGACAAACAAATTAAAATTATGTAATAGTGTCTTCCATGTTGTACATTAGATTTCCCTCGATGCATTCACAGTATTCATATTCCTTCACTCGTCTCACTCTATATATCACAAACTTCCATGCATATATTGTATTTTTTTTAAACAAGGTCGCTAGCGTATTGATGTAGGATTAAACAGTCGAGGCAAGTCTAACATGGATCACAAACGTTCATTCATTTGAAGGCATTTTTATTTAATGATAACGGATAAAATTATATATATATTATAAACATATCGTCTAAATTATTAAACGACCGAAAAATACTTTGGGAGGTTTATGTTGATTACTTTAGTTACTAAAGAATAAGGATAAATATCCAACGAACAATGCAACATAATATATAATGTAGGCTTTATGATTGACAATATAAGAAGGACTATCAAAGTATTAGTTTGAAGCCTGTGCGATTCAGACTACATGCACTTGTATATGAAAGAAGTCCATAATCATGATAATCAACAAGGTTCTAATAGGCTAAAGCATTGCACGAACACAGTGTTTGATTCATTGGACCAAAGAGCGGAGGAAAAAAAATCATATTAGAAAGCTGCCGGAAAAGGGACGATAGATAACTAGCATTGAGGATGTATAACAAAGGCACTTTGGCTCAAGGACGTGGACTTGAATCTAAGTTATTCACTTTTCAAAGCTCATCGCTTTATTCACTAGATCACTCTATTCTGTTTACTGATTCAGAGCAAATGAAATATTGGCTAGTATTAGCAGTCATGTCTTTATCATTTCGTATATCAACCATAGCTATTTAAGACTGACAGTCGTTTAAATATGATAATAGTTTTTTGTTTTCAGTGAGGTGACAATGGGGTCCTGCTACAGCACACTCATTCAGAACATGCTCAAATGTCTGAATTTGACAACATGGACACAGGTCAGAGTCTTTGAGAGCCCAGAGCTTCGTACTTGCTGCAAACCTTAGGCAGTTCGATTCAATCCGGGGCTTCCTTGGAAGGTTGCTGCCTGGCGGGTGAGAGGACTAAGCTTTAAGATATGGTTTGAGCCTCTCAGGAATAGCTGGTTCTGTAGCACTCACCACGTGCTCATAACATGTTATGATTATGCATATACTGTCATAACAATATTGACCATACGACTTATATTACTACCAGCAGCCAAGTTGGTGAGTCGCCAATCTTGACACAAACCGCATTGTTTCCTTGTGACCTACATCTTAGATTAGGTTTCCAACTTTCTCTTTGTCACGTTAAAATAGGCTTACATTAAAAAACAAAAGGAGAAGATTCGGCTACTTACTAGAGAATTTGACCAAAAGGAACGTCATTACGTATAATCCAATATATCCCGTCATTCTGGAATGAAAATACTTCAATGTTAATATACATTTGGCACACACTAAAACCGAGCCTTATACAAGACTGCTCAAACTGCACTGTGTCTATACCGGCATATAAACACAGGCAATTTCCTATAATGTCTATGCATGCTATACAATACGAGTCACAACAGCTTAATGTTTACAGTAATTTCCACTTGAAAATATATTTTTTTACTTTCACTTCCTCGTACGTCCAGTCTTAATGTTAATTACTCTTCATTTGTTCTATAGTAACTGATCAGGTTGATTGTGTTTCTGTCACGAGAGGGAAAGTAATTAATAATAATAATAAAATAATATCGGATATTTATACACCGCACATAATCCACCATGCAAAGTGCTCAAGGCGCTCCGAATATCACTCGGCTCTGCTAGGCAGCCGATTTCCGCGCTCACATCATTCAAGGAATTTCTTCCTACCAGTATCCATTTAACACCTGGGTGGAGAGTGGCAAATGTAGATTAATGTCTTGCCAAAGGACATTAGTGCCGCGGCAGGACTCGATCCACGGACCCTGTGATCCACAGTCCGTCGACTTATCCACTAGACCACAACAATACTATTCTTTCTTTTGGAAGTTTCCGAGTATCAAGAGCTGCTTTTATTGAACATTTAAAACATAATGAGGAATATAAGATAAAGCATCTTTAGGAAGGTGACTTTTGAATAAAAATTCTATCGTAATTTTTAAATTGTACATTTGTGTCGATGAGGCTTACTCTTTATTTTATATATTATATGCGTGATATGTGAAGCCGACATCCATGTAGAAATCGTAGTGTGGGAAGGTATTGTCTATTCTGCAGATTAAATCACTGTTAAAAAGAAAACTTATTTGTAACTTGTATTTTGCTCATTACATTTCGGACTTTAATGTGTCATTGAAGAGTACTTTTAACTGGTTGCTTTTATTATTTGTTCTATGCAATAACTGTATTTCAAGTATGATGATTTTACTTTACATCCGATCTTGCGCTTGCACAATAATTATCTCATATATTTCTCGAGCGTTCTCTAATCGCCCTAAGGGCCGGAGGGGGCGTATTTCGCCCCGCCCCTGCAGTTTTTCTGAAAACTTAGAAATTATACAAAATGCAATGTAACATCTATAACATTTTTTTTTTTATGTTTTGAGTTATAAAACATCTACATTTTCACCTATATATTCGTATAGATTTGTTGTTGCTTTACGGCCATGATAAGATGGTGGGGGGTCTCCACGCCCCCCCCCCCCCCTTTTCCGGCTGTTGCATGGCCTAATCAACCCCGGCGGCCTTTTAAGGGTTAAGACGACAAAAACAGCAATTTAAGTCATAAATGACAGTAATGAGGATTAATTCCCCACAAAAGGGCACTAATATAGCACATCGACACGGTTTTATCCTGGGGCCTCACAGTTACGAGGCCATTGCTTTGTCACTAAACAATGACTGTACGCAGCGGGGGCTAGGGTAGGGGGCAGTTTCCATAAATAAAAAAACAAAAACAGAAAATGCAATAAATGTTCAATAATTTATTGCATTTTACCCCGGTTCCCAACATAACAAAATCCTCTGTGTTCCCATGCCTTGAGCCATCATGCATGGCCTTCCAGAAGAATTTTTTTATGTTGGGGAATGGGGTAAAATGCAATAAATTATTGAAAATTTATTGCATTTTCGTTGTTTTTTTCTTATTTATGGAAACTACCCCTTACCCTAGCCCCCGCTGCCTACAGCCATGGTTCAGTAACAAAGCAATAGTAATAATAATAATAATCCGTTTTTTTATATAGCGCTCAATACACCGATCCAACGATGTGCCTAAGCGCTTTACAAATATATTATTACCCCGGTCATCGGATTCAGGCTTACCCGCACACAATGTGTGCACATTTCCCACTCCCTGGGGAGCATTCCAGCCAGTCGCCATTTTACAGGCGCACACTTGCTCGTCCAACCACATGAACGTTTGCATCCTACAGGGTACCCATTTAACACCTGGGTGGAGAGTAGCAAGTGCAGGTAAATATCTTGCCAAAGGATATTAGTGCCGTGTCGGGATTCGAACCATCGACCTTCGCATCTACAGTCAAGCGCCTTTAACCACTCGACCACGACACTCCCCAGGATCAAAACCGTGTCGATGTGCTATTTTAGTGCCCTTTTGTGGGGCATTAAACCTCATTACTGTCATTTATGACTTAGGGGGTAAGTCCCCTAGTTGATAATTAGCAGTCACGCATAACACACATTGGCAAATTATTATTCAATAAAAATTGAGAATGTATACTATTATCTAGATCTAATATTTTTAAATTATTTTTAAAATAATTCCATAAATTGGGGTAAAACAAAAATATTCCAACTTTATGAGCGACAGTGTATGAACTTTCACCAGTTGAATTCATTGTCCACTCCCTGGGACTAACAACTTCTGATAATAATTAATGATGATGGTAATCCTGATTGCAAAAGACCATGATCACTGTATGCCTAATCACATAGCTGTTATAAGTATGATGATGAATCAATGCTCACTTTCTATTCAATTGTTATACGTCAGTTGTGATACAAATTGGGAATACCCTCAGGGACTTGGAACGATTCCAAAAATTAAGTCCCAAAAGTATATTTCAACCAATAGATCAATTCTCGCTTTTTGAAGCCCGTGAGACCAGTTAACTATAACAAGTTGCGTGAGTTGTATGTATTATCTTATCTTTCTTCCGAACTTAAAGTAAGACTAAGATAATATGCTGTATCCCATAGGATAAGCTAACTAGGACGGGTAGCTTTTCTCTTACACGCCATATTTTTTAACTCAAAATCCTTTTGATCAAATGTTAATGGAAAGTATTCAATTTCATATCAAGCGGAAATACGCCACTTTCGGTGTACATCGTCAAGCCATGAGACTTAAATGGCTCATTCATGTTGTCACCTTCTTCACTCCTTTCCCGCTCCCTCCCTCCCTCCCTGACTCCTACGCCCCCCCCCCTCTCTCTCTCTCTCTCTCTCTCCCCCTCTCTCTCTCTCTATCTCTTCACCCTCTCTCTTTCCCTATCTTTTATCTCTTCCTCTCTCCCTCTCTCTCTCTTTTTCTCTCTCTCTCTCTTTGTTCTCTCATCTCTCTCTTCCCTCTCTATATCTCTCTATCTTCCCCTCTTTTCTCTTTCTCTCTCTCTCTCTCTCTCTCTCTCTCTCTCTCTCTCTCTCTCTATATATATATATATATATATATATATATATATATATATATATATATATATATATATCGCTCTCTCTCTCTGTTTCTCGCACACACATAAACACACAAAAAATCATTCACAACCACCTACAAACATATATCTTTCTGTATGAAAGTAAATTATAAGGTCGATTAACAATGTTAGAAAATTATTTTTAAAAGGAGGAAAAGAAACTACAGCAACGAACCATCTTTAACTTTTAGTAATAAATCCCTTCTAAGACGTGAATTCTAATGGGGAAAGATTTGACCAGTATAAATATAATTTCGAAATATAAATATTAGTTAATATCGAGGCCAGTAGTCATTAATAAAATGTCACCTATATGCGATGGTGATGATGATTCTGTTGATGATGATGGTGATGATGATGATGATGATGATGGTGATGATGATTCTGTTGATGATGATGATGATGATGATGATGATGGTGATGGTGATGATGATGGTGATGATGATGATGATGATGGTGATGATGATTCTGTTGATGATGATGATGATGATGATGGTGATGATGATGATGATGATGATGGTGATGATGATGATGATGGTGATGATGATTCTGTTGATGATGATGATGATGATGATGATGATGATGGTGATGATGATGATGATGATGATGATGATGTGATGATGATGATGATGATGATGGTGATGATGATTCTGTTGATGATAATGATGATGATGATGATGATGATGATGATGATGATGTAATGATGATGATGATGATGATGATGATGATGATGATGATGATGATGATGATGATTCTGTTGATTATGATGATGATGGTGATAATGCCGATAGTGATGATGATGATGATGTCTGGTGGTGATAATGATAACGAAGATGATGAGTCACAATGGATTGAACATTACAATAACGTACTATTTATTTCACTCCCTCACTATCTTTTTCTTTCTTCATCTTCTCTTGCCTTACGAAATCTCCAAGAGACCTAATTCGATTTTTATTTTAGCACCTGGATTTTGAAGTTACTTTATTTTGAGTTTTATCTATAAAAGTTCCTTCGATCGTTCTAGATGGAAGTTTTCATCGCGTCAGTTTGACGATCTTACTTACTCATTCACTCCATATAGACGTATAGAAATATATGCTTCAATCAGTTGAATCTGAACCTAAACTTGAACAATATTTTCCCCATTTATTTTTTTAAATGGAAGAAAAGACGGTCGAACATAAAAAGTGTCATGTTCAATGAATAGAAATAAAAAGAAAATAAATTGAAACCCCAAAACAAACGCTTATTGTGAGCAAACAACGAGCCTTATGATAATAATTCCTAGCTTTTCAAAAATTAATATGCTTTTAAATGATACTTTGATTACATCAATCGGTATACGCTTCAACGAGAAACAACGAGAAAGTGGCATGTCAACATCCAATTGTGCCAGATGCTGGTAAAGAGTGACAAAGTTAGTATTACATTGCATGTGAACATGACTTAAGGGAAGTTGGATTTTGTAGATGATTGTGCAAAGAATTATATTATGTGGTTACACACAGTTACATGTAAATATGCAGTTACAAAAAGTAGCGAATATAATTATACCCATTTCCGGTATTACAGGGGCGTACATCCTCAGATTCCCCCAAATCAATAATTTACCCTCAAGAACTGAAATCGTGCCCTTCCTGAGATGGAAAATTACATATTCTTATAGGTCTTTTCTGCATTGTGTTCCCATTACATCATACCCTTTGCCCTAGATATCAAAATTACTGTGCTCCTTGCCCTGATTCTGGTGAAAATTATTCCCCGAATGTCCGCTTTTGCTATTTTAAAAAGATGAGGTTCTGAACATGGCAACAATTA